TGTTCAGTTCCTGGACCAAGATGATGATGACGACCCAGACACAGAGTTATACCTCACTCAGCCTTTCGCCTGTGGGACAGCCTTCGCAGTCAGTGTGCTGGATTCTCTAATGAGCGCTGTAAGTCACAATCAATTTAGTTTACAGACATATCAGCAGATATAAAGAGCTTATTGTAGAGGCTTTTGTGCAGTGACATAATAACTGTCAGTGACCTGAAATATGCGAAGAAATATTGTTTTGATATCACAAAAGATATCAAATAAAAATATGGTCCCCCCAAAAACATAGGCACATTCTGCTCCTGTTAAAACAATAGATGACAAGACTGGAACTTGCACCAGGTATGATGGCTTCGTTTGTCTGCCTTTCAGTTTGAGTGAGGTTAGAACAAAGCTGCCTTCAAGTGCGCTCCACTGTAGACAAAGGTAATGCTAGCTAATGGACAGCCCTCATCCATCATCATAGTCAATAGTGCTGTCAGCAGCTGAGGGAGGTGTCACAGTGCTGTACAAGCAGGGGGAGGCAAGAGACTGCAGTGCAAAGAAAATAGCAGACATTTGCCCTGGTTAACATAAAGCAATAATCAGTTGAAATTTATAGCAAAGAAAGTCTATCGTCACCCTTAATATGTGGTTTATAAAGCTGTTTTTTCCACATAATTGTTATTTAGCTGTAAGGTATGCCTGGGCATCATGAATGTGTACATGGCCTCCCAGTATCTCTCACTGATGGGAGAGAGAATAACCTGCAGTAATTGGATTCTCCTGTCTTTTCACTCACTGTGCAAAGCAATGTGACATGACAGACCAGGGTTAGATAGCACCATTTGCCCTGTCTGGCACTTTGAGATGGTTCACTTGTGACTTTGGTGGTGTTTGCTTAAGGAGTCACTCCTCCTCTACGTTCATTCCTTCAGACATACTTCAATGATAATATCCTCACCTTGATCCGGACTCTGGTAACAGGCGGGGCGACCCCAGAGCTTGAGGGGCTGCTGGCGGAGGAGAATGCGTTGCGGGGTGGCTACAGCACACCACAGACCCTGGCGAACAGGGACAGGTGTCGCGTGGCACAGCTGGCCTTGTACGATGGGCCCTTTGCTGACCTAGGGGTAAGTGACTGGTCTTGTCACCTGAGGGCAAAGCTCATCTTCATCTGCTTGTGCTGTAGGAGCAGACAGTGAAAAGATTCAGACAGGGATGGCTGTGATTCAGAGTTTGTAGGTAATAGGGATACCATATATTTAAATAGGCAGATATAGTATATTGCACTATATTATGATGCATGTCAGTATACATTACTGGTCAAAGATTTGGACATACCCTTCCCATTCACGATATTTTCTTTATTTCTATTTTCTACATTAATAACACTGAAGATATTAAAACAGTGAAAGAACTGACATTTTACGACTAAGACATTCAGGTCAGTCAATCTGGGAAACAGCACTGCAGAATTGGGCCATCTTGAAAGCTATTGTTCCTTTAGGATTATGTGAGAAATTTCGATATCTTAAATCACCATTTGTAGTTGATGAAATGAATCAATTCCAGATTCATCTTTAATTCTGAAGGTGTAATTAGCCAATATATGATATCTTCTTATTTATCATTTTTAATCTGTGTTTTTATACTAGACTCTTTTTGTCTTTTCCTTGCAGGATGGTGGTTGTTATGGTGACCTGTTTTGTAAAGCTCTAAAAACATACAACATGCTGTGCTTTGGTATCTACCGGCTGCGAGACGCACATCTAAGCGCACAAAACCAATGCACTAAACGGTGAGCGTGGCTCTAACATGTCTTTGAAATCAAGATGCTGGGAAAACTGGGATCCACAAAGAAGACTTCTACCAACATTACATTTAGAACTGGCCTCTCATCTGTTCCCTCTGTCCTCTAGGTATGTCATAACCAATCCACCATATGCGTTTGAGATGGTGCCCTCAGACCTGATATTCTGCCTGATGCAGTTTGACCACAATGCTGGCCAGTCTCGAACCAGCTTCTCCCACTCTTCTCATTCGTCCCATTCCTCCAGTAAGAAGAGCTCCTCAGTCCACTCTGTCCCAACCACCAACCGGCACCAAAAGCAGAGACTCACGAGACAAACAAAAGTACGTGCCCTTCTAAAGCTCTCTGACTCTGTTTGTGAACAGTGCCTGTAAACTATGGTGTCCTGTGTGTCCTTTTTGCAGCATCGAGACAGACTGTGACATGTCTGGATGTTTACATGTTACTTTTATGTCTTCGTTCACATTCAATACCACCGTACAGTACAGAACAGTTGTTCCTTAAGCAGAGCCATCCCAAGGCAGAGAGACAGAATCCAATGTGTCATACTTTAAAAACTGAACCCATCAGGGGAGGGTTCCTCACTCTCCATCGGCTTTGTATTGCATGGGGGCATCTCTTTGACAATTGGTATTTTTTAGAAAACACTGAAAAATGCCTAAAAGCAGCTGCCAAAAAAAAAAAGCCTTACTGGAGTATGCTGTAAAAATTTGGTCTGGCCCTCTCCTGAATAATATGGCCTAATATAGTATGTGGTAATAATGGGGTCCGATCATACCAAAGTCAGTGGTTTTGCAGTTTGTTTCATTACAACACCCAAAAGCAGCACAGATGCCAGGTGTTTTCTACTCTGTGAAGTGGCCAGAACCTCTCCTGCGATGGTGGGAGAGAAACCAATCGATGTATTTGATACAATAGGCTTAAATGTCAAGACAAATACATCAGATGTGCATGGAGTGGTAGAGTTTTGTAAATAATGTGTTCTCATGTTTTCTACATAAAGAAAGAGTAGTATTTTGTGGGATGAAGTCAAGTTTTTACAAAAATTGTCAAACAGTCTCTCTTACCTCAATGTTCTCATGAGGGAGTCTTCCCATTTTCCACAGCTGTGGCTCTAGCAGTCTGGCTGTTGTGGGGGGGAGACAAAATAGACTGTTATTTGTTCTGTAAGAGGAAAAAAAAAAGCATGGAGGGCATTCCACTGAAGCATGCAATCAAATTAAGATGTGCAGACTTACTACTATAAAGCCTAAGGAATGAAATGTGTGCAATTACATTGTGCTCCATGTTTTGAGAGTTTTCATTACAGTTTAACTAGTAGTGTATGTGAGAAACAGAAAAGTAAAAAGTAAAAGAAAAGTCTCTATACAGACGGTGGATAGCTTAGTGGTTAACACCACTGACTTAGTCCTTCGTGCTATCTGCTGAGTGAGTTATGGAGGTAGTTTAGAAGGTTCCCTGCTTTTTGTTTTTATTTTTATAAATGTCTTGTTTATAATCTAACAACACTTTTAAAACAAAAGAAAGAAACAGCAGGTGACCTCCTCCCTTAGTTAACTATGTCAATACTTAATCTCAGTAAGAAGAGCTCCTCAGTCCACTCTATCCCAACCACCAACCGCGCCAACCGCACCAAAAGCAGAGACTCACGAGACAAACAAAAGTACGTGCCCTCCCTTCCTCTCTTCCACCCATAGTTGCCAGCCTGCTGCTTTCAGGAGGACCCCACCACAAACCCACAGCATCTATCCCTACCCTTAGCCCTCATACTTTACCTGTCTGAAAGCAAACCTTCTTCATCAGTAGGCTTCTTTGTGCTCCATCCTCCATCTCCAGTTGTGGGGGAGGATGAAATCTCCCCACTTTCCCTGGCGTCCTGACTCCTCCTCACCGTAGCGTTCATGGTGTATCTCACTCAGCAGATAGCACTAAGGGCCTTGCTGAAGGACCCACAACTGGCCGTGAACCCCCGGCCTGCCGTACCACAGTCAGTGGTATCAACCACTGTGCCATCCACCTGCTATGAAGAAGCATACTTGGAACTTGTACTGACTTCTGGTATTGGGTAATGAGAGTGCACAGGGATCTGAATCATACTCACAAAACGATCTGTCATGCCTCAACAGGGAACTGAACCCAGACCTGCCATAACCCAGTCAGTGGTGTTAACCACTAAGCTATCCATCTGTATAGAGACAGGCATCTCGCTGCTCAGGCAACACACTGGACATTGACGGTGCACTGACAGAGAATCGAACCCCAACTTGCTGTACCAAACCCATTGGTGTTAAATCACCAAGATTTTGCAGAATTGGTACCATGCTCCAAGTGCTTTCTAATGTAATCTTGTTGCTATGGGAAAATATTCACACTAAAATATTCTCTGATTGCTGACTGAAAAAAATGAATGAGCAAATGTTACATTTTCACAGCTGTTGAATGAACACTACAAGCTTTCTATGATTAGTAAACAAAAAAAAACATTTGTGCATTTTGCAAAAAGGCATTTATGTTCTACATAAAGTTGCTAAACCCTCTTGTTCTGTTCAGATTCAAGTACATTATAACACGTTTGGTATGTTAGCACATGCTGCTCAGTGGGTTCTGCACTATATCTCAAACACTGACAATCTTTCCATTTGTTTTGGCAATAGGAATGGATATGGTATTGGTGCTTGGCAGATGCTACAGTGGGTAAATGCATAGTAATGGCATTAAGGATTTTCTGACATGAACATGTTCTGTTTTTCTTTCCATTTCATTTCACACGCTCTTTCACACCTTCTTATGCCTCTGACCATCATGCAGTGCAGTTTGTTATTAACAGCCATATTAGTATTTCCCATTTAGCTTACATTTAGTGTACTACTTTCTTTTTTCAAAGTGCAACAAGGATGAATAGAGTGGGCCAAGGTATGGAAGTGAATGACTATGCATGATGTTAAATAATGCATTGAACACGGTCATGTCCTTTCTGACATTTTGCCCCATGAATGAGAGCCAAGTAATTAGGTGTTTCCAAATGACTCTATAAGAAGCGCATGGTTATGGCCTATGCAGCACATCTCACTGTAGTTTTGACTATAGAATATGTTATTGCAATTGAATGGTTTGATGCTACTTCACTTTAACATCTCTCTACTGGCATATGTGTTAGTGTATTATACTGCCACAGCCAAAAGTCATACTAATGAAATATGCATGACCATGAGCACTGCCAAGTGGATTACTCACCAGCAACATACTATGCCAAATATCCATTCCCTTCTATAAGAAAAGAAAAACTCATTAATTGGTTACCTGCATGTCTGCTGACCCAACAAACTGGCATGCTATGAAAAACACTTTAGCCATGAGATGAGTGACATTACAGAGGTGAAAACTGGGGCAATTGGACATTGAGTGATACTTGAGGCAAAAGTCAGACAGAAGATCTGCACACTGCGCTGATAGCTCCTGGCAGAGCTAAATCTAAAAGGGATTTCTGTCAAATCACAAAGAGGAACAGTTATCATATAGACACCAGAGGTTACATTAACTGAACATTTTGCATCACTGATGGAATTTGATAATGATGGAAAAATCTGAAGGCCACCTGTCATTTTGACAGGTTAGAACACAGACGGTGATCAATACTAACTGAAAGTTAGGCTACTAAAGAGCCCAATAATTACAATGGTGTCGACAAATGAGGTGAAAAAAGAAGAACCGATGCGGTGAATTAACTGAGACCCACTGAATGCACCTTGCTTTACGGGACCTGACAACACGTTGAAGAGCCACAGACTGAAGGCCACCAGGCGCCTCTGTGAACAGTACAGATCACAGAGGGCCGTGCATGCAGCTGATTCCTCCTGAGCGCATCAGGATTGAGAAATCTCACATTCAGAGGAACTTCCAACCACTTCACAAAAAAAATGTTCCCCGACTTCAAACATTTGACTAAAACGGAGACAGCAAGTCTCCAGTGAGGCAGCAGAGCGCAGGTTCAGCTTTCAGGTCAAAATTATAACAGCCATGAGAAACCTAGGGACTAGTGCCTCTACAGTAGGTCAGCTGAGCTCAATTCACTTAGCCTAACGTCTTGTAAATGGGTTGTTCACATTTTAATTGTCTAATTTTGTAAAATCGCAATGTTAATATTTGCTTGTTAACATGCAACAGTGGTTTTAATGGTCATTTAATCTACTGTCACTATGAAAATTAGTCATCTGCTTCACATGGTGTTGACATAAGTGGCTGCACATATGCTTGTTCCGTGAATTAATTATTACAAAATGAAATTAAAATTAAATGTCTTATCATAAAAAAAAAAGAAAATTGACACTTTATATTCTCTCTCTTTTTCTGATTTTGGGAAGAACTAAAGTGCATTGGCCTTTTTCACTGTCTGCAGTACATGGGGCTTGCACTGCAGTTATGAAAACATCTGAGCTTGTAAATGATTCTATACTAGGTCTACTATAAATAAATACATAAAACTAAATTGAATGGAAAAAAAAACTAAAAAGAAAAAAACCTGAGTATCTCACAGTGTTGTCCAGCGCTGTTATGACTGATGCATTCTGGGAGCAGACCCACTCTCAGTCATGCAGATCACAACCACCTGTGAGATGAATCTATTTATCCGATGATCAAAACATTGTTCTGTTATATCACATATGCTGGGCTCTCTGACTGCAGTGTACAGAGCCTTTGTCTGCCTTTTGCCTCCAGCACCTATGGAAATGTTTTGGATGTGTGGGTCCTACACCCTGTTTAACATTGAGCAATACTTCCCTGGCATTAAAAACCCCATCTTAGAGCATATGTCTATCATGTCAGAATTTCTTTCAGCACCATCAATTCAAACAGTAATTTCTTTGTTAACTGTACAATGTCTTTTGAATGTTTTCCGTGCACACAAGCACAAACCCATTTGATGAGACTTAAATTGTAATCGACATCCATGTAGCATTAACTGTCTGATGTCCCTCTTCTTTGTTTCTATGTGATTCTGGCTCTTTCTCAGAAAAGACATGGTTTACAGATGAGCCAGAGGACACACACCTGAGGACCGTACAGATTAAACCTGTGAATACTCTCGCCGTCAACCAAGTCAGTCAGTATAAATCCACAAGCAGCTTGATTCCACCCATCAGAGAAGCAGAAATCGAGTGCTGAGCTCTGGACCCGTGCTGTCATCTGGACACTCAGGGTCCCAGAAGACTTATCGTGTAGGTTTCATCTGCAAGCATAAATCATGAATTGACATTAGATGAAACTGCTTTCTTCATTCACTTCTGCAGCAAGCTTAGTGTACAAGCAGATTTAAAATCATACATTTAGTATAATTGAAGACAATCACAGTCAAAGGTCACCACTCAAGTATTAGTTTGCACAGCTAATCGTTATTGGTGACCAGACCCCATGACTTTTTTTCCATTTTGGAGAATAAGGGAGAAGAGCAATGTGAGAATGACTACTGCTACTAAAAGAGGTGATTATGATGATTACTGGATCAAGTTTTGCAGTTGTAAAAGTTGCCTTTTTAGCTGTTGATGAACTACTACTACACTTACTTTACCCAGTGTTAGAGTTATTTTGTACAGTATGTTAAAATGTGTATTTTACATCAAGCTGCAGTCCCATCACAATGGCATTGTTAGTGACTGATTCCTTTGCCATTTGGAGCTAATTCACAACATTTGTGACGGTTACCATAGCCAGTGCCCATGTGTAAATGGCAACTGGCTTCAGCCTTATCTCTGTCCATTTATCTTTGCCTTTTTGAGTCGTTTGTTTGAAATGTTTTCATGTTGTCATCTGGCTGCAATGTCCAAAACCCCTGAAAGCTTGTTACAGTAAATCTGCAAAGTTTGTCCAGAGTTGAAATGTTATGGAATATTCTTTTCTCTTTTCTTTTTTATGCCAATAGTCAAATATGATAGAGCTGTTTTGCTGGCAATATTATAATATAAACAAAAATCTAACAGTTTCTAATACAGTGGCAGAGCTCGTCATTTAGATAAGACAGCATAGACAACGGTACCGTATGATGAGTCTGTAGGTGAATTGAATGTGAAAGCCACATAT